TAGCTATCCCCTTGCTTTTTTACTTCATACTCTCTTTGCCATTCTTTAGTCTTTACCAACTTTTATAACTCTTCATCAATATTTGTCCAATATCCAATCAATCTTTTTATTTCTTTACTTTTTTCATTCACACATAAAAAATAATAAATTGAGCCATGTGAAATAAACAAAAAGAAGCTACAAATAAAAGAAAAAACTAAGAAAATCCAAAAAAAAAAAAAGAAGAAAGGAAATGCCGCATGGACAACTCTTGTATTCAGCATTATTTACAAAATTAATAATATGGATTAGATGACAAAGAAAAAATTTTAAACTTTAAACTATTAACTTTTCTTTCTTTTTACAAAAAACCCTAAGTTATTAATTTAATAATAAAATTGGTGCAAATTAAAATTAAAACTTTAAATTACTACTTATTTCTCTTTTAGTCAAAATAATTTTTTTACAAAAAATTGTAAGTATTGAATTTGAATTTTAAATTATACCAACTAATTAAATTAAATTGAATTAAAATTTAAACTCAAAAGAAAAAAAACTTTAAAATTACTAATTAGTGAAAAATTTTATTTTTTGATCATTGAAAATAATTACCAAAAGTTTTAATATATTAATTATTCATTTTAAAATAATCTAAGAAACTATTTTTTGAGAAATGTTAAGATATCATTAATTAAAAATTTATTTAATCATCACTTAAAAATTATGAAAAGTTTTAATAAATTTAAAATTATAATTTTAAATATTATTTACTTAATCATTTTTAAAGTACTGAAATTAATTATTTATTCATGCTTTCATTTGATTATATTAATTTTATATTTGTTTATTTTCATTAGGGATAGAGTTTTTACTAAATCTAAATGATTTTAAAAATTTTAACAAAAAATTTTTAATCTTTAACAAAATGGGAACTTCTATGGTCAGTTTAAACTTTTTAGCCTTACAATAAGGCCGACAAATAATAACTATTAGATTTATATAATTGAATGTCAACCATTGATTAAGTGTTAAAGTAGAGAAAGGTAAAACTTACTTATCAAGTAATGAGATTGTAAAATAAAATTTATAAAATTTTATATAATTTAAATAATATTCACTTTATATAATAGTATTTTATTTTTCACTTTATTACATGTTTATGAAATTACTTAAAAATAAAAAATAATAATTAAAATTTTTTGTTTTAAAATTTTTTTAAGGTAATTGGTATCTTCAAAAATAGCTAAAAAATTATAAAAAATAATTATAAAGAAATTAAAAAATATTAACGTAAAAATTCTTTCAAAGAAAAAATTAACTTAAAAAGAATTTATAATTTAAATAAAACAATATTAATATAATCAAATGAGAGAAATAATAAAATTTATATGAATTTATGTAACATGGGATAAAAGTGTCATAACATGCTAAAAAACAAGTTATGAAAATCTTAACCATAATTGAATAGAAGAAAAAACGTTAGAAGAATTATTGTAACATAAATAATTAAGTTAACAGCGTAAAATTTAAATTATAATTTTTTTTAGAAATATGTAAGAAAATAATTAAAAATATACTTAAGGATAAAAATTAATGTAAAAGAAATGATATTTTTAAAAAAATTAATAAAAAATTTATTAACGTAAACATATTTGAAGAATCGTAAAATTTGTATCATTTAGCGTCAAATATATTAAAAGTGTTAAAACACCTAAGAAATAACTATGATAATTCTAAAGTTAATGAAATGTAAGAACAACCGTAAAAAAATATTATTGGAATATAAATATTTAAGATAGCAACCTAAAATTTTAATTAATTATTATTTTCATAAATATATAAAGAAAATATCTAATAAATAAAAAATAGATAAAATGAACTGCTGAGAAGAAACATAATATTCATATCATTTGACGTAAAATGGATAAAAAATGTCATAATATACTAAGAAAGAACTATGACAATTTTAAATATATTGGAAGTAAGAACAAACATAAAATATATTATTGTAACGTAAATAATTATGCTAACAATATAAATTTTTAATTGATTACTGTTTTTGTATATATATAAATAAAATAGCTATAAATTAAAAATAAATTGATAATGTAAATAAGTGTAAAAAAATATAGAATTAGTGTCATTTACTGTAAAATGGGTAAAAAATATTGTAACATACTAAAAAAGAGTTATTACAATTCTAAACATAATAAAAAAAAGAAAAACCATAAAAAGATATTATTATAACATAAATAATTATGTTGGCAACATAAAATTTGAATTAATTATTATTTTTAAATACATAAAGAAAATAGATAAAAATTAAAAAATAAATAGATAATGTGAAATGAGTTTCATTTAGTGTAAAATTGAAAAAAAGTGTCATAATATACTAAAAAAGAGCTATTATAATTTTAAACGTAATTAAAGATAAGAACAATCATAAAAACAAAATATTGTAACATAAATAATTAAGTTACAACATAAAATTTTAATTAATTATTTTTTTAAATATACAAGAAAATTAGCAAAAAAGTAAAAATATATATTGATAACGTAAACAAGTGAGAAAAAAATGTAAAATTAGTATCATTTAATGTAAAATAAGTATAAATTATCGTAATATACTAAAAAATGTCATGACAATTTTAAACGTAATGAAAAATAAAAAAAATAATAATAATATATTATTATAACGTAAATAATTATATTGATAATATAAAATTTTAATTAATTATTATTTTTTAAAATATTTAAAGAAAATATATAAAAATTAAAAAAATAAATAGATAAAGCATATAAGTGAGAATAAATGTAAAATTAGTATTATTTGGCTTAAAATAGGCAAAAAGTATCGTAACACATTAAAAAAAGAGTTATGATAATTTTAAATGTAATGAAAAAATAAACATTGTAAGAAAATATTATTGTAAAGTAAATAATTATGTTGACAACTTTAAATTTTGATTACCTATTGTTTATGTCAATATATAAAAAAAATAGCTAAAAAAAACAATTGATAATGTAAACAAGTAAAAATGCAAAATTAGCATCATTGGATGTGAAATGAGTATGAAGTGTTATAAAAAACTAGGAAAGAGTTATGATAATTTTTAAATATATTAGAAATAAAGAATAACTGTAAGAATATATTATTGTTTTATCTTGGTAATTTAAAATTTTAGCTAATTATTAATTTTTAAATTTATAAGGAATATAACTAAAAATTAAAAAATAAATAGGTAACATAAAAATATGAAAAAAACATAAAATTATTATAATTTGGCATAAAATGAGTAAAAAATGTCATAACATATTAAGAAAAAGTAATGATAATTCTAAAAATAATTAAAGATAAGAACAATTATAAAAAAATTATTATAATGTAAATAATTAAGTTGCCAACATAAAATTTTATTTATTTATTGTAAATATATAAGAAAAACAGCTAAAAAAAAAACAAATTGGCAATGTAAACATGTGAGAAAAAAATGTAAAATTAGTATCATTTGATATAAAATTATGTATGAATTGTTGTAATATGTCAAAAAAAGTTATAACAATTCTAAACATAATGAAAACTAAAACAAACCATAATAATATATTATTATAACATAAATAATTATATTGATAACATACAATTTTAATTAATTATTATTTTATAAATATCTAAGAAAAATAGTTAGAAATTAAAAAATAAATTGGTAGCATAAGCAAAGGAGAACAAATGTAAATTAGTACCATTTAATGTAAAATGGAAAAAAAGTATTGTAATACGTTAAGAAAAAGTTATGATGATTATAAAATAATGAAAAGTAAAAATAATTGTAAAAAATATTACTATAAAGGTAATAATTATGTTAATGATGTAAAATTTTAATTATTTATTATTTATATAAATATAAAAAATTAGCTAAAATTAAAAATAAATTTATAACGTAAACAAGTGAGAAGTAACATAAAATTAGTATCATTTGAAAAAAATAAGTTACAAATGTTGTAGCACACTAAGAAAAAGCTATAAAATGCTAAACATTATGAAAAATAAGAACAACAGTAAAAATATATTATGTAATATAAATAATTATGATGATAATGTAAAATTTTTATTAATTATTGTTATTATATATATAAGGAAAATAATTAAAAATAAAAAAAATTGATAATGTAAACAAGTGAGAAAAAACGTAAAATTAATATCATTTAAGTAAAATGAGTAACAAATATCGTAATATTCTAACAAAAATTTATGATAATTTTAAATAATAGATGATAAAAATAATAGTGATAAAATATTATTATAGCGTAAATATTTAAGTAGACAACATAAATTTTTTTGGATAAAAAGTCGCCAAAATTTGTAATCAAAATATCTATAAAATAATCATACAAAAAAAATGGTACATGATAGCCTTTTTTATGATATATGTTAATAAATTTCTAAAATTAGAAAAAAAAATCATACGAATAAATTTGTAAAATATATAATATAAATAACGAAAAAAATAATTTAAAGATTAAAAAGATAACATAAAATAATTGATATTTTGAAACTAAAAAGTTAAAAAAAATTAGTAAGATGAATACTAAAATTTATATTAATTATTGTTGTAATATTGTTATTTGTTAATAATAAAAAATAATAAAAAAATTATTTATTAAAATAATATATGACATAACTATAGCTGAATTTTTATTTTAATGTAATTATTTATAAGAATAGCTGAAAATAAATATAAAATGTGTAATTTGTAATTTTTATTAATCAAATAAATAAAATTATTTATATATTTTTTATTGACCTATTAATTTATTTTGTTATTTTTTATTATTTTTATAAATTTTATATATATTTTAATTTCTTATGAGTTATCATATCATAGTATCCCATGATTTTAAAATAAGACGAATAAATTATAAACTTAGTATAGACAAACCCTAGCTATTTTTAAGAATACAAATTCCGGAGGCCACGTGGACTATACGGATTGGTAAAGATGGCCGCAATTTAGTCAAACAAATAGGGCTCAAATGAGAAACACAATTTATTCATTCAACCATTTTTGTTAAAGCTCTGATAAAATTTGTATTTGTTGCTTTATAGTTAATCTCTCTGCCGCAAAAAGGAGAGCGAAGGAGGCAAAAGACGCTCTCCATCTCTCATTGTCGGTTCCTATTTCCATCGGAAACCCGATCGAAGTTTCTCTCCGGTCAGTACTGATAACTTTTTTTTGCATTTGCTTTTTGTTTTCCCTCTTATTGGATAGAAAGTTTCTATTTTGATGAAGTTCCTGTATTCGATTGTTTTGTGGAGGAAAAGAATTTTCGGGAAAAAATTGAACTTTTTCTTTTTTTCCTTTTTGTTTTGTTTTGGTTGAAATAGGGATAATTTTTTGCGCATGTACAGTGTTTGAATTAGTAAATTCCATTCTTTTGGATACAGAATTTAGAAATTTTTTGAAAATTTACTCTTTTTTTTACAGTTTCACTTGGTCTCAGTGCTTATAGTATTGTTTCATAACGAATTAAGTTCTTTGAAAAAGTACGGTTAATGGATGAAGAAGATATAGTCTTTTAAGTTAATTTTAGATTTTGATTTTCCTCTGTTAGTTGAATATTTTGGTGTGGTAATCAGGTGGAGCAAAATGATGAGGCTGCGAACCTATGCTGGTTTCAGTTTAATGGCAACGCTAGCCGTTATTTATTATGCATTCAACAGTAGAGGCCAATTTTATCCTGCTATGGTTTATTTATCAACCTCTAAGATAAGCTTGGTGCTGCTTCTCAACATGGGACTTGTCGTTATGTGTATCTTATGGCAATTAACAAAACGGGTATTCCTTGGGTCTCTTCGTGAAGCTGAGATTGAGCGGTTGAATGAGCAATCATGGAGAGAGGTCATGGAGATCCTCTTTGCAATCACTATTTTTCGGCAGGACTACTCAATTACATTTCTGACAATGGTCACGGCTTTGTTGTTAATCAAGGCTTTACATTGGCTGGCACAGAAGAGGGTTGAGTACACTGAGACAACCCCTTCTGTTCCCATTTTGTCTCACATTCGGATAGTTTCTTTTCTGGGTTTCCTTCTTCTTCTAGATTGTCTGTTTTTGTACAGTTCTATCAAGTTTTTGCTCCAAACACAACAAGCTTCAGTTTCCCTCTTCTTTTCATTTGAGTAAGTTATGTAACTTAGCTCCTTTTCTTCTTTTTGTGATTATCAGTTGAAAATTTTTTATATTCATTTCTGCTTCTCATGCTTTATGGGCCATCATTCAAAATCATATTGTATTTAACTTGTCCTTAATATTTTAGACTTAATAAAATTGACTGGCAAGGATGAACCTTTTGAGATTTTACTAAGGTTCTGATAAATATGCACTGGGATCTTGGATTTTTCAGAGCACGATTAAGAAGGATTGGAAAATTATGCATGTTGTGAAGGACTGCTAGACTATAAGGAGATAAGAAAGAAACTCTTTAAATATGTCATTTACGTTGGAAATTAAATGATAAATAAAGTTTACATTTTAAAAGTCCACCATCAATTGAATATTAAGGTTGCTGGAACACAAAGGCTTTTAAAATGCCCAACTTTTTTTTTTGTTTTACAGTACTTTACTTAATTATGACCAGTTTTTATCCCTCCTTGTTTTTTACAAGTGCTATGTGTGTACTTTTATTTTTCACATGCAACATTGTTCTTTGCTTGTGTAATTGCTACTTGTGAGTTTTCAAAGTTACTGAAAATATGTTTTGGGCTGCACTAGGGAGAGGGCTAGATATGTATTTTCTAGTTTATCTGATCTTGCTCTGACTAAAATCGATTTTTTTGGGTTGTAGGTATATGATACTGGCAACGACAACAGTGTCAACTTTTGTAAAATATGTTTTCTATGTGAGTGACATGCTTATGGAAGGACAATGGGAAAAAAAGGCTGTCTATACCTTCTACTTGGAGCTCATTCGGGACTTGCTTCACTTGTCTATGTATTTATGCTTCTTTGTTGTGATTTTCATGTAAGTAAGCTATTTATTTTAGTTTCAGCATGATCACATATATGTCTACATCATTCACATGCATAAATAGTTTTTAGCTATTGGATAATGTTCTAAAGCATGGAGTTCTCTAAAATTTTTAGACTTACATGAATTGAGGGTTTAATATGTGTTAAAGCAATTTTACAACCAGTGCTCTAAATCTTTCTAGTCAGTTTTTACTTTTTGGATAGAATGATACACTTTATTTTAGGAGTTTGTATCCTGCATCAGATCCCTTCAATTATCTTGATATCTTCTAATTAGGTTTTAAAGTTGAAGGGTGGCATTAGGCATGTAGTGTTCTCTAACTTATGGAGATGCACTGGGCTGATTGAGATCAACCTAAACTCAAATTCTGGTAGTGAGTTTTTTTTTTGAGATTTTAGTTACTGGGTTCTAAACTTGCACTTGTTGGATGGAGAAAAAGAGCAATTTCATTCCATATCAGATTCTACATGAACATTAATCAGAATTGCTGTAGATGAGGCATTCAACATTGATACTTGTTTCGTCACATATCTAGAGAGTACAGATCAAGTTTGATAGCTGCTTTGTGAAATATTTTATATCCTTGAGACATGATAATATAATTGTCAGGTAGAAGGTCGGCAAATGGGTAATTTACCAATTGGCATAAATATCTCCAGTTATTTGTTCTGCTTTTCCATCAATTTGCTGATAAGCTGGCTTCTATTACATTTGGCTGTCATGAATAAGAAATCAGATTCTGATCCTAAAAGAGTCTAATGTGGTTGTAAAGAGAACTAAGACTGACCTGCAGGTATTGATATGCTTGCCCGGTGGCCAGTGTTTTAATGGAAGGCTTGGTTGGGCAGTGCTAGGCTTTTAGAGGATAACTTATTATTAAAGACTGAATATAGATTGATAAATGTAATAAAAATGGAGAAAAGAAAAAAGGATATTTTTGTCTTTGTCAAAGTCTCAGATATCTTAATCCACTTTTATATATCTTATAGATTAATTCATTGGTGGTTCTTAATTTTTAATTGGTTTCTGCAGGAACTATGGCATTCCTCTGCACTTAATACGGGAGCTTTATGAGACCTTTAGAAATTTCAAAATTCGTATTGCTGATTACATGCGTTATAGGAAGATCGCTTCAAATATGAATGATAGATTCCCAGATGCAACCCCTGAAGAGCTTAATGCGTGAGTCAATTTTTTGTTTATGAACTTATTTTTATATTTTAAAGAAACTTTCAGTTACATTGTGATTTATGATTCTTGATTCTTAACTGCTTCCTGATTGGATGAACAGAAGCGATGCAACCTGTATCATATGCCGTGAAGAGATGACCACAGCAAAGAAGTTAATTTGTGGACATCTTTTTCATGTGCACTGCCTTCGTTCATGGCTGGAGAGACAGCAAACCTGCCCTACATGCAGAGCATTGGTTGTACCTACTGAAAACGGAACAAGTTCATCTGGAGGCCAACATGGACCTCGGTCAGAAGCTCATCAACAAGGTAATCTCATTGTGACATCATCTATAATAAGATGAACTCTTTTCTTTGAGCATTTTGATTTTCTCCACAAATCAAATGCCAGCTGTTACTTCTGCCATGTGGTTTTGAGATAATATGGATCATGCATGAAAAAATTGCCAAACATTTTGAAAATTTGTTGCTTTCTCTGAGGTGTCAAGTAAAGCTAACTTTGAGGCCTTTAAAATTTCAATCCTTTTTCAGCTCAAAATGCAGTTTATCTTTTTAGTTGCCATCTTTTTATGCCTTGTTGATCTGCATGTAAGCTAGCTAAGGTATGTGCCTCCTGAAATAAGGTGCAAAAATGCAATCATCCACAGGTGTTACCCATGCATCAAGGTATGCACCTTAGTGTGGTGCATCACTTGAAGGCTTTTCTTGCCCAACCCTATCTTGAAAATGTTTTCCATGTTTTGCTCCTAAATTTTTGGGGATAACCTATTCCTTGTCTCAGTTATTATATGACATGTAGGGGGGGTTTGGTTTGGGGGAATATGAGATTTTCCCTCGGAATCTTGCTTGTGAGATTGTGATTTCTACATTTTGTTCATGCGTATTTGATTCTTGAGGTAATCTTAGATTTCTAACAATACCAAAAAGTCTTGAAATAAAAAATCAACCTCGCAGTGGTTTTTTAAGATTCTGAGAGGAAAATTATTTTTTAAACATATTTGACTTGAATAAAAAATGATTTCATTCTATTTTACCATTTTGAAAATCAACGTATGAAAAGAAACATAATTTTGATTTTTTATTTACAAATATATTATTGAAAAACAAATAGCACAAATACTGTGTTTCGAGATAGCTTAACATAGTATTTGAGTAATATTTTTTCTATGTCAAATATGATGTTTTAGGGAACCAAATGCAGTAATTGTGATTAATTTTTTTTGAAAATTTTTAATACAATAATGACGTTTTTCACGAACAAAACATAGTAGTTGCTATCAACAAATACCACTTTTCTAGGGAACCAAACACAGTAATTGTTGATTAATTTAAAAAATTTTTTTTAATACAGCAACGTCGTTTTTCATGAACAAAACGTCGTAATTGTTATCAATAAATGCAGTGGCTAAAGCACTATCTAGAGTATCATCACAATGTTTGACAGAAGAGAGTGCTTCCTGCCACATGAAAGGCAGCAACATAATGTAATAAAATCGCATTTAAATGTTGTGTTAGGCAAATATCTCTTTGGAATCAATATCTATTTGCATTAAATGGCCCTTAGGAAACCTGCATTTAATGTAATAAAATCAATATTACAACATCAAATCGCATCAAATCGCATTTAATGTAATAAAATCATTCTGTTTGGGATCCCATGTTAAAGGCCCTTTGAGATCAATATCTCTTTGCAGGTTCTTGATTTGTTAGGCAAATATGGTGTTTATGTTACATAAACATCTTGTTTGTACTTTTAAATTTTTTTTCTCAAATGCAACGTTTTTCAAGATGGAAACTTCATATTTACATCAAATATTGCGTTTCTATTTTGAAAAACATCATATTTGTTTAAATTTTATTTTTTCCCAAGGCAATCATGACGTTTTTATTACATTAATGTAGTTTTTCACTGTATTTTTTTTATTTTTTTAATAAAAAAACTATATTTGAATTCAAATTTTATTGATAAAATATGTTATATTTAACAAAAACGATGTATTTGACATGTAATGAAGGACATTATTCTAAAAAGACTATTAAATAATTTGACTTTCCCTCGAACCAAACAGAAGAATCTAACATTCCTAGGCCAGTAAATTCACTTCTTGCTAGGAATCAACACATCCTCGAGATCACTTTCCCTCTCAGAATCTAAGATTCTACGAACTAAATACCCTTATAGAGTTATTTATACCACATGGAAGCTGGTAAGTTGATTTGGGTTGCAAAGAATTGGGGATGTGGACATTAGGTATTTTTTTGTTCCACAGTGATATTGCTTCACTTCTAATTTTTATAATTTTGCAATTAATCAAACTGATGTCACTGTTTGAATATGGCCTAATTGTTTAAAGTGGGAACAGGATCCAGCAGCAGTTCAGCTACACAAGGTCCTGGTGGTGGCATGGCTACTGATAATTTGACCCAGCATCAGACCAGGCTCCAGGCTGCTGCCACTGCAGCGTCAATATATGAGAAATCTTATGTCTATCCTTCTTCAAGCACACTAGTTTGGTAGTAGTTTTATGCTTGTAACAATGCATGTCTGTCAATGACATTTGAAGTTTCCTCATTTTGCCAGCTTATGATCTCACCCCTTTTTCCCATGTGTTCTTATTTTGTGCCAATTGCAGTGCACTAATTATCAGTTATTGCAGTTCCAGAATGCATATTTAAATCTTTGAGCACTGGAGAAAAGAATTAGGAATGTGCCATTGAGACCTAATTCATTTGGCTACTGGGTTGTAGAAAAGTTGTGTTTGTGTGTGTGTGTGTAGACCATTATAGAAGTGGCAACACTGTTCTCCTCTAGTTAGTCTCTTGCAAACTTTATTATTAAATCATAAATATAAATATAAGGAGTTAATCATTGAAATGGAGACCTATTACTGGAGTTATGTGATAATTAGTTTTGGGAAGTGAAATATCTATACCAATAGAAGGGGAGCGCTTTAAACACATGAAAACCATGTTGCATTGGAGTGGTAGTTTTCAAAAACTGATTAGCAGTTCATTCGTTTAGAGGCCTCTCTGGACCTTCAAGGTCTTTGCCCCTGCATCTGCTCTTCTTTCTATTTGTGCTATTGATGCCAGTTTTTTTACAATATCAGATCTGGCTCTAAGGCCATTGGTTTTCTAATCCCAACTGGTACTTCCATTTACATTTTATAATATTGTGCATTTTAAATGCAGGTCTCCTGGATATGCTGTACTTCCCAAGGCTTATAGGCCATTGGCTGACTCCACCAAGGTGGAATCTAGTGGGGAAAAAACATCCATTGGACAACAACAGTTTGCCATTCCTGGTGGACGTGCAAACTTGTCCTTTCCGCAATTCCCACATTGTGTTTTTGTCCCTTTCCAATTATCTGGTGCCAGTGGAAACTCAGTTAGTAATCAGAATATTCCAGATTCTCAGTTGGAAGCGCAGAGTAAGGTTATCCAGCAGCAGATTGAGGTATCATTTTTTTAGATTTCTGGTGCTATTTTTTGCTTTTTCTATGTGATTGTGTGTTTTGAAATTTTGAAAAAGTCTCTTAATTTCTTGTTTCCTACCTTAGAATATAATGCACTTTTCTAGCTCAGGACTTGAGTAGACCGACTATATATCCATATAATTGTGTGATCAAGGTGAGATTTAGAGTGCATGGCTTGCAGCTTTTTCATGAGATTCCAATATCGGTCCTGACTGTTTTTAGGATAGCTTCCTTCTAGTTGCACTAAAATTAAGAGTTTGCTTTTGTTTGGTTGTCTCTTTCTTCGGTATAGAGCTTTGTTTTTTCTTGTTAAAAAATTTAACATTTGACATAAAAAAAATGCAAAATCAGCTCACCCTCTTCCATTTTGTCACTAGTGTTTCTTCAACATTTTTTTTTCCTTTTCTCAATAGGTGCTGCAACGTCATCTCCAACTCCTGCAGATGCAGAAGTCAAAAACTGAGGAAAGCATGGACGTTGGTCTCACAGCTTCATCAGATAGAAAAGGAAAGACCATTGCATCTTCCTCTGTTTCGGATGCCCATAACGGAGAGACTGAAGACAGTACATAGTTCTTGCACAACTGTAGTTTTTTTTTTTTTTTCCTTCACATGAGATGAGAACTAATGAATGAGTATAAAGGGGAGAAATAGTTATCCAAAAATAGTGGCATTGCTTCCCAGACGACTGATATCAACAGGAGCAATGTTGTAATAAGTCCGGCTTACCATCATAGAGTTTCATTTTTATTTTTTAGTCTCTTCACATTAAAGTGGCGATTGCAGGCTTGGTCGTTAAAGATAAGATGTGAATGTGTAGCATTTGACTAACAGCTAGGAACATTCTATTTGTTTCAGCTATGATTGGAGCATCAATTATAGATCCTTTTTGGATTTAATTGCATTATTACAACCTTTTTTGCTTGCCTCGTGGTGATAGTAAAATTTTCTTGACAAGAACTCAAACTTGTAAGAACAAACTCACCTTCCTCGGTATAATAATGTGCCCTGGCCTTCAGTATGAGTATTGCTTGGTAAAGCTTCAAGCACGATTTCCTCCACTTAAGTAAGCATATGGTTTGAACTATTGCTTCTTTCGTTTCATAGTAACCCAACATTCAATAATATTAGAGGGTGTGTTTGGTGTATAAAATTATGATAAGATAAAATAGGATAAGATGGTATTATGATTAATGTTACATTTTTTTGTATTTAGTATATGCAATGATTATATATGATAATTTATTTATTGATCAAAATTATTTTTTTTCAAAGTTTATATAATTTAAATTATTGATATAAATTTTAAAGGTATAACAGATCATATAAATTTAATTTCATAGATTAAAAATAATTCCTTTCATTTTGAGAAGATTAAATCATTTTCCTTACAATTCTATTTCTTTTTTTTAGATACAAACTAAACATAATATAAAATTATTATTATTTCATTTTATCCATCATTTTATGTATCACACGTAACCTTAATTTCCTGCTCTTGATTTAGCATATGCTTTGAACTGGTGCTTCTTTCATTCATGGTAACCCAACATTTAATAATGTTTGGCTTCTTTTTTTCTTCCTATATATACATATATATATATGTATGTATTAATTATAAAAATGTTAATATATTTTATCTTAGAAGCTTGATCAAAATTATAATCTTAGTTATGGAGATAACTAGAAAAGGAGGATATATAAATGAATATGTAGATATTTAAATTTCATTACCATTTCATTTCTTCCCCTTCCCATTCTATTTTTTTTTTTTTTAAGCTAGTAGCGGACTGGATTTGCTCTAATTATGTATTGGAGATGATAGCATGAAAAAGCTCGCTTTTAGTAGGATTCAGCGGAAGACAGAATGATTATTGCATGTTTTCCCGCCTCAAAGAATTCATTATCGCATTACGTCTAATTTTCATGCATGAAAAATGTACCCATGACTGCTTTTTGAGAAATATTCATGGATTAATAAAAACTCCAGGCATGTAAAGCAATATTTTTGATAAAATGCCAATAACAAATAACTACATCTTCCCTATCAAAGCCACAATAACAATAAGGCCCAGCCATAAAAAATATCATCAGAACAGTGCTTCAATATCCAGCACTCATGCAAAAAAGATTGAAATGCAAGATCATATAAATGAGATTAAAATCCAAGGCTATAACTGAAATAGAAGACTATTGTTATGATACGGTCAGAAAGATAGTGTATAAATTTGTCATAATAGAACTAAGAAGAATTATGTTGGACGCCTAGAGGCATAAGTATGTATTATCAGCTGACAGTTGTTATGTCTTCACCTTTGAGCTTATGCTACGTTTACTGTGCCAGACACCACTCCTATCACCATTCACAGGGTTCTTTTTGGCAGCAACAGAACATTGATCAGTTCGGCCACCCTTACTATTCATCTCAATTTGAAGTCTACGCCGCCTCATCCTATTCTCCAAGCGTATTCCTCTCTGAGCACGGGCCCTCTGCTCAATTTCTAAAGCTTCTGAGAAGTTCCAAATTCGAACAACACCTTCCTCTCCACCACAGACAATTCGATCTGCTCCAATACCAACTGAGAATAAATTGCACCCAAATCCATGCAGCATTCTCTGAGGGGGCTCTAAATTATTTTGGTCAATGTCTTTATCCCTTGAAACCCTTTTCCCAAAAGAACGCCTACTAGCCTTCAACAACTTTCGAACATCAATTAGTGCAAGTTTCCCATCGCTGGAAGCTGAAACAAGCCAGGGAAACTCAAATGCAAGGGAATAAACAGCACCTGAGTGAGGAATCCATGTTGCAACCTGCACAATGCTAGGTACTTTACGCTCACTTATGATCTCAAACATGTGTATTGCGCCATCTTCTCCACCAGTAAAAAGGAAGTCTCCAGTGCGGCTCCGCGCCAAGGCATAAGTATTACCAACATGAGCATTATGAATAACATTTAATAGAGTCCCACTATTAGTCTCCCAAACAAAAACATCTGAACCTGATGTGCTCGCAACAGTTGTGTCATGAGGTACAAGGCCCCAAACCCAATCACCATGCCTCAATACCTGTGTGCACTTCAGCAATGACCGATCCCAGACACGAACTGTCATGTCCCAAGAACCACTATATATCCTAGTAAGGTCCAAAGCAAGAGAAGTTATTGGCCCCTCATGTTCCCAAAGTCGAAACTCAGTGTTCTGTTTCTCAACACCCTTAAGGTCAAACAAGTGCTGAAGACTCTCAACCGCCCTCCAACAATGGATAAAGCCATCAGTACCCCCAACAACCAATAGTTTAGTATCTGCTGCAACTGCCCTAATAGTACAACCAAAGGGTCGTGATGATGCAATTGACAACCCCTCTTCCATATCCCACATTCGTACAACAGAGTCATATCCAGCAGTAAAAATGAGCTTGACAGAAGCCAATAAAAACACAGTTCGGACAGCTTCAGTATGACCATATAAAACATCAATGCTATACCTTCCTAAAAAAGTCTTGCTCCTATATTCCCTCTGCACAAACAATTCCTTCCATGACTTACTGTCTGAAAACCCTGCACCCAAAGGTGCTGAGGCAATCGGTAACCCCCATCTCTCAAAATAAAACTCCTTCCAAACGTGATGCTCGGATGCCATATTACGGAGAGTTGTCGACACACAAGACACTATACCAAGCTCTTTAGGGTCAAGACAATTCAAAATTTCTGACATTAAGGCTGGTGGAAGATCAGTGATAGACCGTTGGACATTCGGAAAAAAATCATTAGGAGGTAACTGTTTTGAACCACAAAAACTTGAAATACTGCCCTTCTTAGGATTACAATCCAATGCCGGTTTTGAAGCTTCCAAATTTTCAGTTACGGGGTTTGACGTAAAATCACTTGATTCAGAAAATTTTGCTAAATTCTTAAAAACCTGGGTGCTTTCTGGGCATTCAAATGCCATAAAATGAATGAAATATTCAACTAAAACTATTAATTCAATGGTTTAAACCTAAATCCCCTGATTTAAAGGCCCAAAAGAATTTAACCCAGAATCTCACCTTATCGTTAATCAAAGATGCCCAAATCTAACAAATCCTAAAAACTGAAATCCCAAACTGTTTAAATCAAACTAAGGCACGTAAAATAAAAAAAATCAGAATATATCCAATTAATTGAAGGTGTGCAAGATCCAACCAAAACCCAGAAAGTCAAAGGACAAAAAAAATTAAAGAGAAACTGGCAATTAGAAAGATACCTCTAAGATTAATAATTCCTTCTTCGGAGCAGAGAAGTTGTTAGAAGTGTTTTTTTTTTTTTAATAAATGAGGGAAAAAGAGAAATCGAGAGAAAAAAAATCTGGGATTTTGGAGGAAATTGAAACAAGAACAAGTTTTTTAGGTCCAAAGCGGTGGTAAAAACAAGTTGAGGAGAAGGGGATTATTTATTTTATCACGGTTTAAGTGAAAAAAGATCGGACGGTGGAGATGACGAGAGCAAGAGTCATAGAATAATATAATATATACCGTACGATGATTAGAGTTGAGTTTGGCCTGGTTGAATTTGGTTTTGAGCAAAAATTCATACCAAATAAAAAATTCAAATAAACAAAATTAAAATAATTCGATTTGGTTTTGTTATTAGTCTTTTTGAACCTATTTTTTTTAATTTGTTCAAACTTCGAAATCAAATGTATATTGTTCATTTTTTGTATTTTTCAAGTTAATACTTTTTTATATAATTAGTTTGTAATCCGTATTATGTGCAGATTATTTTTATATAATTATATATAAAAATATAAAATTTATATATGCATGTATCGAAATAATATCTAAGAGAAACTCGTTATATTATCGATACTGCATGTAATTGAAAAATTAAATGAAAAAAATCAAATTAAACATTTTTTCATAAGTGCAATCAAATTTACCTTAATTAGTTTAATATTTTAAAGTGATTTCACCTACTTTTTAAATTGATTAAAAGAAATTAATGATTCCTTTTAATAATTATTTGTCTTTTTATTAATTCGAATACATATATATTAGTCATAAAATCATATCATTAAAAAAAATTATATTGCTATTGAAACTTGAAATTTTAATAATTTAGAACATTGTAAGATATGTCTTTAGAAAAAAATAATTATATATTGAAGTATATGATGAACCAAAGATTTATTATATATATTTGAGAAAAAAAAAAAAAACCAAAGATTTACTATTTATGTGTGAAAAAGAAAGAACCAAAAATTTATTATATATGTATGAATTTTGAGTTGAAAATCCAATATAAGTTCAAATAATACCAAATTGGTTAAATTTTTTGTTGAATCACATATCAAAAATGAAAAATAAAACTATAAATAAAAATAAGTGAAGAATGAATAATGAATACTTAATAATCATTACAAATGAAATACTTAATAATCAAATAAAAAAAAGAGAAAAATAGATTTTTAATAATTTTCTTTGACAAATTAAATAATGAATTTATCAAAGAGATAAAAATACTAAGTGCCAAATATTAATAATAAATCAAAACATCATTCAAAGAGGTCTATAAAAAAAATTAAACTTTTGATTAAAAAATGTATCATCATTCACATTCTTTTTTAGCATTATATCTTTTTGTTTTAATATGAAAACCTTACAACTATAACCTTGAAAAGAAAAGATTAATTATCAATTATTTTTCATAGTAAAATATTTAAGAACATTAATCCAAAACTAATATAAAAAGAAAAAAAAATCAAATAATCATAATTAAGATTAATCTAATAATTCTAACTTGAATAATTAAGGAAAACATATTTACAAAAATATAATACTAAATAAAAAAAATACAAGAACATGTCACAAAAAATAATAATACTTACAGAGTTATAATTTTATAAAATTTTATAAAATTTTATAATTTTATAATTTTAATACTAAATATTAAATGATCAACCTAAGCTATTTACGTGTGTTGTGTCAACATAACTCAGTAATATTAAGCCGGACTAGGCAACTAGCCCAACATGCTATTCGTATTGTTGCAATTTGAGGTAATTAAAGAGAATTTTGAATCGACTTGAAGAGAAAATATAGTTTATGAATCTCTTGTCGTTTCAAAAAGTATGTTATTTTTGTATATTAAAATAATTTTGATATGATAATTTCAATATAAGATTTTAAACTTTAAAGATATATCAATGGTGAAGGTACATATAAAGACGCTTAACCATCGGCGCGACCCAAGCAAAGCTTCAGACCTCGGCCGTAACAAAATACCACAGCCGGTTAATGATGAGGTCAGGAATCTAGCGAATATCCACATTCAAGTCGTCGTCTCCGAGAAACATAAGACATATACATCCTTTTCTGTTCAAACTAAAGATTTGCCCTTTGCCCTCCTATCATCAAAATATCCTTTTCTGATCTCTTTCTCTAAAAGTATATATATTAATACTCTAAGGAACTGTCTTCCAAGTACTTACTCATTCACATTTTGCTCCTTTCCAATTCTTATTGCTTTGCATGCTTTTACAGGTTCTTTGCCTAACCATGCTCAAAAGATCATGAATTGTTTTTCATGTTGTTAAATGCAAATTTCAAGCTTAAAGATTCAAAAAATGAGCTGATTATTAGATAATGTTTGATTTATATATAATTAATTACTCAGTTTGGTTATTATAGATATTTATTAATTAGTTCTATTTTCTGTTTGGTTGAAGGGAAACAATGGAAAACAACGGAAAGCTTGAAGGGAAAAGGTTAGCTTTTAGTACTTCACAGGTTCAATTTAACTGTAATGATTCTTTGAATAACATTATTGTAATTGCATTGGTTTGATGGGGTTATAGCAGATATGCAGTAGTCACAGGAGCAAATAAAGGCATAGGTCTTGAGATTGCACGGCAACTCGCAACCCAAGGCGTCGCAGTCGTGTTAACAGCCAGGAATGAGAATAGAGGAAAGGAAGCAACATCAAAGCTTCAGGAATTAGGCTTGTTGAATTTAGTTTTCCATCAGCTCGATGTACTGGATCCGATTAGCATCCAATCGTTGGCCAAATTCCTAAGAGAAATGTTTGGACGGCTTGATATCTTGGTAAGAAATGATTTCGTTGGTTGCTAGTTTTTCTTCTTTCAGCTCAACTGATATACAAATGAAATCTTACGAGATTTGTGAAGGTAAAAAAGACACAATGGTTTTTTTCTTTCTCAAAATTTTCAACAAACAATCATAGATATTTTGATCATTTATACCAATCTGATTTGATATGATCAAGACACTTTAATTTGATCTTATCTTAATTATTTTTTTTTTATTCTCTCAACTTATTTATAAATATAAAGATTTAGGTATTATGAAATCAGATTCATTTAATTGATTTTTTTATTTTTTTTATATTTTTTCATTTTTTTTTTATCTGATTTTTATTGACTTACGTGTTAAAATACAAATATAGAAAATACTTTTTATCTTTATCTTTAACCGTTCTTTCTTTTTATGTTTATGAAAATATCCTCAAATCGAAGCTCGATAACAAAAGCATTTTTTTCAAAAGTTTCAAGAGTTTCATGTAAACGAAGTAAGTTAATATATTTTTCTAGAAGCTTACCAAAATTAATCAGAGGATCATATGTAATATCTTCACAGGTCAATAATGCAGGTGCAAGTGAGGTAACAGTTGATCTAGATGGCCTAAAAGCCTTAAACATAGATCCTACAACATGGGTAAGCTAGCCAAACCTTAAAATAAATGAGCCATGAATCAGGTAGAGGAATCCTTTATCAACTAATTGTTGATGCAGCTCTCTGGTAAGGCAGCCAAGATGGTTCAAGGTTTGCTTAAGCAAACATATGAGGGTGCGAACTATGCTTAAAGACTAATTACTATGGTGCAAAGAAAGTAACAGAAGCTCTCCTTCCACTCTTGCTGCTTTCCCCTTCGGGTGCGAGAATTGTTAACATCTCCTCTCTCCGAGGCGAACTAAAGGTACATTGACCCTTCCATATAGAATTTATAAACCGGTACTGCATCAAATATTTATTACATTATTTATTATTAATAAAAAAAACACGAACTGCACATTTGACCAAGAATTTGATAATAAACTTAATTTTCGTTAATTTATATTTGTTTATTAAATTCAATAAATAATCATGAATAATATTCTATCGTTTGTTAATTATACAAATATAATAAAATTTATTTATATTTAATTTATTTATATTTGATAATATAAATTAATAATATTTGACAAATAATTTATGAAAATATTAAATTTTGTTTAATGATCGATTATGAATAGTATTTCAAAATTCATTCATTAACGAATAAATCACAAACATAAGAAAACTCATTCTTATTCGATTTTTTTACATTCTTACTATCTTTTATTTACGAAACACTTGTCTAACAGAAAATTTTTCTGAATGCAGAGGATACCAAGCGAGTGCATTAGAAATAAACTTAGTGACGTAGAGAATCTGAGTGAAGAGAAGTTGGATGCTTTAATGCAAACTTTTTTCAACAAATTTAAAGACAATGAAATTGAAGCCAATGGATGGCCCCTAATGCTGCCAGCTTATAGCATTTCCAAGGCCGCCCTCAATGCCTACACGAGAATTATTGCCAGAAAGTACCCTAAAATGTGCATAAATTGTGTTCATCCTGGATTTGTTAAGACCGACCTGAATTTTCACACAGGGCTCATGAGTGCGGAAGAAGGAGCTAAAGGTCCTGTTATGTGTGCTCTTATACCTGATGGGGGCCCAACAGGATGTTACTTTGATCAGACCCAAGTAGCAGAATTTTGACTCAATTGGCGATGGCCAAACATATCCTTAATTACTTACGTGTCCCAAACTACAAAATTAGTTTGATCCTCAAATAAATTAAATTATTAAAGTTTGCTAAATAGATACTACTATTTTTAAAAGTTTAAAATTTTGTTCAAATAAGTAATTTGTGAAAACTTTTGATAAAATTTTCCCTTGTCATACACGAATTCTACCTTCTAATTCTAGAAATTGATCCGATTTTTAAGCTTACTAATAGAACCTACTAACTGTAAAAATTTATTTATTATATATACATAAATATATATATATATATATATATATATATATTGGGTACGGGACAAGAAGGGTGCTGTATATTATCTCTGTCTTTGTACTTTTACTCGATAGATACTTTAAATCACATATTTTTGTTTCCTTTTTCAAATTTAATATTCGTATTTATTTTTATTTGAATTAAAATAAGACTTCTTATAAAGTTTGGATAAAATTTTTATTTAAAAACCATTAATCCAACTACTCATAAAAAAAAAATTATCATCAATTTGTTACATATTATATCTATGCCATTTATGAGTTTTTTTTTTATATTATATTTAAACCATATTATCAAACAAATGCCATAGCATTTTACGAGAGCAACAGATAACTGCCATCCACATCAACACTTTTTGATTAAACTGTGATGAT